CCATCTGTTAGATGGGCCCTTCTCTCTTGACGCTGGTTTCCAGATGTTTATCTTGGGTCTCCATATGTTGAAAGACTGGGCTTGCGAAACATGCTGAGTGAATCCAGCCCTATTCGACTGGGCATGTCCTCACTGTAAACTGCTCCACAGAGCTCCTCTTCAGGGTGGGAGGGGTGTGACTCTGAGCTTCCCTACCCTGGCACTTCTCGGAGGTGGCTAGCCGGCGAAGTCCCCGCAGTGCCCCGCTCTCAGGTTCAGGCCTTGGTCCCAGCTCTCACTCTTGGGAGCCTTGTGCGGGAGGGGGCGACCTTTTGTCCTGTTTGCTTAGTAAGGGACTTTCTGTTCCTCATTGTTCAGCTATGACAGGGTGGCGGACCTTTCCCCCGCCTGTCCGAGAGGACCAACAGGCCTCAAGATTGCTCAAGCGAGGGCTGACCCCTGTGACAACCAGCCGGCAGGGCTGGAACGTGGGGAGCAGCAGGAGGAAGTGGAGGGGAGGCTGGTCACACTGAAGCTGCAGATACTGGAAGGAGGCCTGGAAGGCCAGGCTCTGTGTGTGTGTGTGTGCGAAGCGCGCGCGCTTGCAGGGCGCAACTTTGGCAGTGCACCAACTTGGCTGTTGCAGGACACCTTCCCATCAGGCCCTTGGAGCCTGGACAAGAAATGCTGCCCCAGGCGGGCTGCCCTCCAGGATCCTGCCCCGGCCCTGCAGTTTTCATGCTCCTCAGCTACTATGGAGAGTACTGGTTCCAATTCTGTAGGGCACGGGGATACAAGGGGCCCTCTCTGAGGGAGGAGGCAGTGTTGGGGGGCCATGCTAGGTCAGAGTGGGGAAACCCAGCGCCTGCCCTGGGGAACTCCCACAGTGGAGACCTCCAGGGAAGGCTCGTTGGGGGGAGGGGAGGTGCGGGGCTCAGGGCAGTTAGGCCCTGGTTCAGTTAGGCCCTGGTTCAGTTACTACTCAGGTGAGTGGCATGAGCTGAGGAAGCTGCTGGGGGGAAGTTCCTTGGTGCAGGGGCCCGCAGCCCTCAGATCAGCCCCAGCCTTCTGGTCCTAGGCCCCCGGAGAGCCCTACTGCAGCAACATAACCATTGGGACAGAATTTTGCTTGTTTGCTTCCATTTTATTTATTAACAGTACAGCTCCCTGGGCCCCCCAAGTGCTGTCAGCAGAGGCAGCTCCTCTGCCTGCACCCTGAAAAAGCCCAGGTAAGGGGTCTTAAGGCTTTGCCAAAGGTGCCTGTTTCAGACCCTGCCTGGGTGGGAAAAAGGACTGAGATTCAGCATGGGATGTACCTGCACACGTATGCAGGTGTTGGGTTTACTGGGTTACCATTTGGACTGCTAACCAGCAAGGTTAGCAGTTCAAAACCACCAGCCACTCCGTGGGAGAAAGACGAGGCTTTCTGTTCTGATAAAGAGTTGTCGCCTCGGAATCCCACAAGGGGCACCGTGTCCTGCGGGATCTCTGTGAGTGAGAATCGACTTGTTGGCCGTGACGTGGTTTGAGTATCTGCACACGTGTGGGATGCACACAGACCCACCCACGTGAACTCACGCTCCAGAAGAAGTCACGGTTCTGGACTCTGTTGTCAACGTGATCACCACTTCCTTTTACCCAGCCGCTTAACATCTCTTCCAGCCTCCCCCAGGGACTACCCTGAGCTTTGGCCCTGGAGCGGGGATGGGTCCTGGGGCCTCAGAGGCAGGCCTGGCGGGGTACCTCCTTGTGAAGGAGCCCATGATTAGCTCAGGGTGCTTGACCAACAGCAGAGCCAGCGGTTCACAGGCCCGGTGATCAAGTGGCTCTCAGAGCCACGTCAGAGAAGTGTCTGAGACCGGGGTGAGGGACCCTGTCCGAAGGACTCGCTCCAAATGGAGTGGGAACAGGGGAGCCTTCAGAGAGGGACGTGGACTCAGAAGGTCTTTTAAAGGCTAACAGGAATTTGTAGGAGGAAGCAGGAGATCTGTCAAGTGGGGAGACAGCTCAGGTGAAGACTTAGGACACAGCACAGAGGTTGCGATCAGAAGCATGAAGCCAGACTGGCTTGGGTTCTAATCCTTCTCTGCCTCTTAATGACTCTGGACGTCTGGGCCCAGGATGGTGAACTTCATGGGGGCGGAGACCTGTCTGAAGGGCTTCTTGCCATCGCACACCTGTCTTAGGTGGAGGCTTATCGAAGCAGAGCCTGAGGCAGGGGTTCTTGGGGTGCACAAGGGTAGCCGGACCAGGCAGGGAGGAACCAAGCAAAGGTGTGGGCTCTCCTGGGGGCAGCCTCAGCCTGATCCCCTGGGGTCTCGGGGAGAGAATTGTATCCCAGTGTGAGGGCCCTCTTGGAACCAAGGGGACTGCCTTCTAGGCGTGGGAGCTTTATCAGTCCAAGCCCATAGCCACTGAGGGGTGGAGGGATGTGCACTTGTCGGTAAAGGTGTCTGGGTGGGGCTCCAGCAGCACCCACTGCCTAGAGCAGGCCTGCTCTCAATGAGTGCCCAGGATAGGTTAACATTTTCAACAAGCACCCATTGCCTGAGCACCCACTCTGCAATGGGCTCTGGGCCAGAGCTGAAGGGTCAAGGTGGCGAGGGAAGCTCCCATCTCTGCGCTCCTAGGCATTGCAGAAGTGTGTGCGTGCGCTCACGCCTGTGCGTGTGCACCAGGGCAGACGGGGACACCAGCATGGAGCCGTGGAACCATGATTAAAACGTAATCTATCTGAGAGCCTCTATCAGCCTGAGGGAGCCAAGGCGAGCTTCCCAGAGGAGGTGACATCGCTCTGAAGGAGGAAGGGAGATGGCTTCAGCAGAGGGCTGCTTTGTGTGGACGACCTTGGTTCGCTGGGACCAGCCTCTGCCTGCCCTGTGGGGGGTGGGGGGTGGGGGTAAAGCTGTCTGTACCCCCATGGCCTCTCTGAGCCTCGGCCTGCAGTCTGAGTGTGCTGTGCTGAGTGGGGAGCAGGAGGAGGTGAAAAAGGGTAGGAACTCCTCCACAGAAGAGAGAAATCCCAGTGTCCCTGGAGTCCTGGCATCTGCAGGGTGGAGCCCAGGGTGACCATGGCGCTGGCTGTCTCCCTCCCCCTCCAGGGTGCGCTTCTGCCCTATGTCCCAGAGTCTGACCCCAAGACCTGCCGGCCGGAAGGAGAATACTATGAAAACAGCATCAAGATGTGCTGCAGCAAGTGTCAGCCTGGTAAGTCGTGTCACAGGGGCCCTGGCCCTGGGGCAGGCTGGGCCTCTGGGAGTGGGTATCCGGGATGGAGTGTGTGTGTGTGTGTGTGTGTGTGTGTGTGTGTGTGTGTGTGTGTGTGTGTGTGTGTGTGTGTGTGTGTGTGTGTGTGTGTGTGTGTGTGTGTGTGTGTGTTAGAGGGGGTGGGCAGGCCGGCCTGGCCCTCTGTCCCTTCTGACTGAACTCCTCCTGATGCTAGGAAGTGCCCCTAGGCTGAGTCTTGCTTCTAGGCCTTTGCATCTGCTGTTCCTTCTGCCTGTGACCTCCTGGGTAATGCCCGTCGCCCTGCAGATCTCAGCTGTGGTGTCCCCAGCAGCCTGGCCCACCCTGCCGCCTTTGAGGCCCCACTGGTCCCTGCCGTCCTCCATTGCAGCTCTGTTTACGTTCTTCTCCCTGCCTATTGTGTACTTCCCAGGACAGGGTCTCCAGCACCTGGTACATTTGACTGAATCAGCGAATGTGTACCCATCTCACAGGTGGCAGACCTGAGGCCTACTCCCTGTGTGTAAACCCCAGTCTAAGTGCTGGGAATACAGCAGAGAGCGGGCCCGGTCCAATCCCCATCCTTGTGGGACTTGCACAGGTGCACGGTCATGGCAGAGGGTTAAGTACGGTGAGGACAACAAGGCAGGTTAAGGAAGATGGAGACAGATGGGTGGGCATGCTGTTTTCTCTGGGCTGCCAGGGAAGCGAGCTTTGTGCCGAGACCCTAACGAGGTGATAGAGCAAGTCATGCAAAATGACAGGGAACAGTAGGTCCCTAGCAGATGTAGCAGTCCGTGCAAAGGCCCTGAGGCGAGAGCTTCTCTGGTGGGGGAAAGGACTGGCTAGGCCAGAGTGAGTGGTCCCAAGGGAGTGAAGGGGCTGTTTCAGGACACGAGGAGGAACAGGTCAGCAGGGACCCTGTCACGGAGTATCTCAAGGAGTCAGGAAGTCAGTGGAGGGGCTGAGCCATTGGCCCGAGATACAGGTGAACCCGCGTGTGCCTGTCACTTCCCAAAGCCATTTCAGGAGAGCCTGGGGAAGTGCCTCCTTACCAAGGTATTGCTAATTCAAGAAGTTAGTAGTCAAACAGAGCCGTGAACCTGGCGTCCAGAAGAATAAACTCCTTCAAGGTTTGGCTCCATGCCTTCCCAGCCCCCAGCATGCCCTCTCTCTCTGCCTCCTGGATCCCATGCCCTCATCCTTGATAGGCTGCCAAGAACTGTTGCTGACAAACTAATTCTCACTAAAGTGTGGTTGACTGATGTCAAGTGGGGTGGAATTTGAGGCACCGGGACAGAGCAGCAGGGGAGACATTTGAAGGGCAATGTGGGGGTGGGTGGGGGTGTCCAGAGGTAGAGTAACAGCTGGGACATGCCAGATGGGAGACGGAAACTCAAGTCTGTGTGACTGTTAAGTCCAGGGGGTTGAGGGAGTCACTTAAGGTGAGTTGGTGGAGGAGTTGGCGTGCCACCTACGATCCTCCCTGGTGAGGCCGCAGCCCTCGGGGACTCTGGGAACAGCAGGGGAGCCCCGGGTCCTGGCCGAGGCCCACTCCCTAAGACCGCCGGCCTTTGCGTTCTCAGGCCAACACGTGCAGAGCTTCTGTAACGCAACCTCAGACACCGTCTGCGCCCCCTGTGAGGATAACACATACACCGAGCTCTTGAACTTTGTCTCCGAGTGCTTCAGCTGTGACTCCCGCTGCAGCGCCCGTGAGTGGCCCCAGCACCCTCCCTGAGCCCAGGCACTGGTGGGGTGGGGGTGGGAGCTCCCCCGTCCTGAGGGTTCCACGCCCCAGGCTCGGTTGTTGGCAGTGGCATCTTCCTCCTGAGTGGTGGCGCCTCGAGGCGCTGTGGCCACCATGCTGAGGGCCATCCACCTGCGGCCTGGACACCGAGCTTTCTGGGGTGCCGGGCTAGCTGTGAAGGAACCCTGGTGGCCAGCTAACCACAAGGTCAGCTGTTCGAAACCACCTGCTTCGCTGAGTGAGAAACACAAGGCTTTCTACTCCCAGAATGAGTTATAGACTCAAAAACTCACAGGGGCAGTTCTACCCTGCCTGCCCTGTAGGGTTGCTATGAGTCAGAATCAATTTGGTGGCTAGGAATTTGGGTTTGGGTTTGGGCTGGCCACTGGGGCGAATGGACGTGACAGTGGACAGGGCAGCCGTGGAGACTGAAGGGGTGCTGGGCTGCCGTCTTGCTCCTCTAGACCTGGTGGAAGTTCAAGCCTGCACTCGGGAGCAAAACCGTGTCTGTGGCTGCAAACCCGGCTGGTACTGCAAGATGAAGATTGGGAAGAAATGCCGCCATTGTACTCCGCTGAGCAAGTGCCCGCCCGGCTCCGGAGTGGCCAAACCAGGTACGGGCCAGGGCTGGCAGTCTTTGGGGACCCCCTTCATGGTACCGCTACCAAAGCACAGGCCTCCACCCAGGAAGCCCAGCCTGGGCACATTATCAGCGGTGGCCGGCTGCTTGCTGCCCCTTCCTCTGTCTGTCCGTCCACCATTCTCTCTTCCCTCAGTTCAGTTAACCAGGCACCTGCTGTGCCCTAGCGCCCAGAAATCCAGAGGTGGCCTGAGCATCAGTTATGAGAACGATGCCATGGGAGGACGGGCCCATATGACACTGGAGACCAGGTGGTCACAGAATGTTGGTTAATGGAAACGCCACTCCGTTGTGTGTGTGTGTGTGTGTGTGTGTGTGTGTGTAGAGGTGGCGATACAGAGGTTTCTGGCCCCTTGGAGCTCCCCTAGGGCTCTAGTGTCAAGGCCCACCTGCTCCATGAACTTGAGTTGGTGACGGTCATAATCTCCCTCCTGAAGGAACTGAGACAACAAATGTGGTGTGTTCACCTTGCGCCCCGGGGACATTCTCCAGCACGACTTCGTACACAGACAGCTGCAGGCCCCACCGGACGTGAGTGCTAAGCCCTTTGCTACCGGAGGGCCAAGGGGGGATGTCCCTGGGGAACTCTTGGGGCCCATAGTGCCCGGGATCCCCCCACGCATTGACTTCCTTGGTGTGAGGTATTGCTGAGCCCTGCCCACCACCCACCCATGTCTTGTCTGGGTGGGCCTGAGGGTGGGGAACCTAGGGAGAAGTCAGGGCAGGACAAGGGGTCCTGAGAGGGTGTGCCACATAGGACGGGTGGCAAAAAGTTCTTGGAAAGATGGAATGGAAAGATAATGGGATTTTTTCCATGAAAGTTTTGAAGCACCCCTGTACCCTTACTTCCCATCGTGACTACTGGGCCCCCTGCCTCCTGGCCTGCCTCCTAGGAGTGGCTCGGCCACCCTGGCCACCTGCCCTCTGCTGTCTTCCAACCCAGCCTCTTCTCCTCGCAGCTGTAGCCTCGTGGCCATCCCTGGCAATGCAAGCATGGACACGGTCTGCGGGGCTCCGGCCCCTGCCCTGACGGGGACCTGGAGACCCGCCCCTACACGCCAGCCGGAGCCCACCAGATCCCCACCCGTGGAGGCCACTCCAGGAGCCGACACAGTTCCAAGAACTTCTCCCCTGCTCCCCCTGGGCCCTAGCCCCCCGGCTAAGGGGCTCAGCACAGGCAATATCACTCTGCCAATCGGTAAGTCCCTGAGGGCTCATTCATTCATTCATTCATTCACTCACTCACATGGTCTCAGTGAGAGCCTGGACCCTTGCTCTGCCCTGGGCTATAGGGCAACACACCTGGTCCCCTTCCCAGACCCGCAGTGTCACCAAGAATCCCTGGGCTTGGAGAGGAGGTGTCCATCAGAGTTCCCAGTGGAGAAGGGACCCTGTTTGTGGGTTGCAATTTCTGATGACAAAGGACTGAGCCAGACTACCCACTGGGTTTAGGGTCACATCAGCGAGAGATTTCCAACTAGTGGCCCTGGGGCTGGATTGTGTGGCACACATTTTGGGGGGTATTTTTTTTGTCATCGAGTTTGGAAGCCTCTAGACTGGGCTTGCCCCCCCCTTCTGGTCAGCTACCTGAGGCCATTGTTTACTTGCCTGGCCCTGAGTGAGGGCCTCGGAGTCGGCTCCCTGCGGCCACTACGCCTCTCTTTACTTTCTAGGGCTGATTGTGGGCGCCACAGCCTTCGGGCTGCTCCTGATAGCGCTGGTGAACTGCGTCATCATGACCCAGAGGAAAAGTAAGGTGCCCTTCCTGCCTGTGGGTGCTCGTTCACCGCTGATTCACTACACGGGGCAGGGTGCCTCTGGGATGTTTGTGCTGGGTGATGTCAAGGAGTCAGGCAGAGCCGGAGCAGACAGGCCCTGCTCATGGGGGCTTAACACCTGGTGTGGGGACATTCCCGCCAAGTTCCTCTTACAAGGCAAGGTGGGATCGGAGGGGAGGGGTGGGGGTCATCATGGTTGTCCAGGGACCTCAGGGAGCAGGCATCATGGAGCTGGGCCTGATGTAGATGGCAGGCAGTGTTCCAGGATGGAAGGGTGTGAGCAGATGGGGGGGGGGGCGTGCAAGGATGAGTAGGTGGGGTGTAATGGGGACAGGAGAGGCGAGCAGGACAGTGGGGGTCCAGCCGGAGTGGTGGGTGGTGGCAGCGTGTCTCATGGTGCCCAGTAGGAAACTGTGCCCAGTGCTGGTTCTACCAGTTCTGCTCAGGGCCCCATGCGGTCCTCCTAATTAGACAAGGCCTGCCTCCCCGTCCCTCTCCCTGACAAGTCCCTGTCTCTCTGCAGAAAAGAGCTCCTGCCTGAGCGGACAAGCCAAGGCGGTGAGTGTCCCTGCCTTCTCTTACCCGGGGCCCCTGGGGAAAACGGTGGCCCTCAGATGACAACCACTCTTGTCTGCCCCTTCAGCTTCCCAAGCACTGTCTCAGGAGCCATGGCTCTCAGCTGACTTCAGGCCGCCTGGTTCTATGGGCAAGCCTGAGGGCTATCTGCGGGGTGGGTGGAGGGCAGGGGTGGGGCTCTGAGTGCTCCCTGCTTCAGTTTGGCAGCTCCCCGGGGTCCGGGGTCTACATCAGCATCCCTGCAGGCTCTTTGTTAGACATAGGGCAATGCTGGCGTGTTTATGGATTGTCCGCCCGGAAGGCATTTGGCTGCTCGTACCCTAACACCTGCGGGTGACATACAAAACCAGAGGGCCATTTCCCTGATACCAGAAAGCCCAGGTGAGGACAGCTGTTGCCATGGGCTCACCTGCATCTTCTCACGATGTCAAAGGACATGCAGTTCTGCCGTCTTTAGTGTGCTGGCTTCCGTCCTGTCCTGTCCTTTGTGGCTGTGTGGTGTCAGGTGGTGACCACCACTTCGCACAGGACCTCCAGGTTCAAAGGGTGAGGACGAGGGGGACGTGGCCTGGGAGTCTTTGATCGGTAAAGCAGACGTCCTCCAAGAAGCTCGAGGTAGACCTCTGCTCTCCTCCCGATGGGTAGAACCGTGTCACGTGACCACCCTAGCTGCAGGGTGGCTGGAAAAGTGAGCAGTCTGCTTGCTCAGGCTCTGTGGTGGAGCAGGGCGTCCATGGGAGGGACAGATGGCCACTGTGCTTGGTTGGAGGCCCAAGGCCCCTGCGCGGCACCTTGGAAGAACCTGCTGGTGGTTTTCTTACTTTCAGAGATGGTCCCTGGAGAGCACAGTTTGACTGCCACACACAGGGGGTCCCCAGGCGTCAGACTCAGCTGATGGCAGCCGGGTGGGTTTACGGATGGCCAAGGATGGGGGCTGGCGGCTGGCAGTGCAAAGGCTGCTGAGGGCAGCCAGCCCCCAGGGCCTGCTGCAGTGCCGTGCCTGGCAGGCAAGACGGGGCTTCACACCATTTGACAGATGAGGAAGCCAAGCTGGTGGGGCCTCCTCCATATGCCTGTGCAGCTCATTCCACTCAGTCAAGGTTTCTCAACCGCAGCACGGCTGAGCCGTGGAGGCCCGAGGAGTCCTTGTTCTGGGCCCTGTGGTCAGATCCCTGACCCCTACTCCCTGTGTGCTGCCTGCAGTGGCAAGTAAAACTATCTTCAGCTAGGACCAAGTGCCCTCTGGGGGCCCAAACCTCCCCTGGCTGAGAACATGAGGTTAGAGAGAAGCTTACCCAGGGACCCCGGTGCCTGAGACATATACAGCGACTGCCACACGTTGATCCTGGGAGGGACTATATATTTTTAATTCCCTTGGTTGGCATTTCACTAACGTGCAGAGGAGGAGAGTGACCTGACCCAGGTCATGGAGCAAGCCGTGGGTTCGGAGTCCTCCGGACTCCCAGCCCAGGGCTCTTTGCTCTGCCCTGGAGGATGTGTGTTTGCATGGATGAAAATATTGGTTTGCGGAATCAAACCGCTTCTCTCTCCGCCAGGCGGTGCCTCTCATCCCTCCCCTTTCTGGCCTCCGTTCCGTGATGCCCACGGCTGTGCCGTCCAGTTCTTTCCTGGTACCCCAGCCGCCACGTCCTCTTCCCCAGCTCAGGGTTTCTCAATTCCTAGCGCTAGGGGGACGGGTGGGGAACCTCCGCTTCCTCTTTCCCTGCCTGAGCTTTGCCTTCGCCAAACATGAGCCGCTCAGCTTCTGTGTGCTCGGTGCCAAGCCCGGCAGCGTGCGGGGCAGCAGCTCTTCAGGAGGAAACCCCCGTTGGTGTTTGCCAATGCCTGTGATGTAAATACTGTCACCACAATCTGGCTCAGGTTACGACAAGCCCCTGCTGGGGGCTGCTGTGCCCCCTCTGCATCCTCACGCACCCCATTTTGAAGACAAGGAAACGGAGACTTCTGGAGCCTCCGCTCGTTAGTTGTGTCAGGTTAGACCCCTGGGTAAGTGGCTGAGCCTGGGTTGGCAGTTCAGTCTGAATCTGCAGGCTTGACCTTTGCCGCTTGCCTCTGCTGCTGGCTGGGATGGTCAGAGGTGCTCCAAGCTGTTCTCAGGGCTAGTTGCCCCACCTTGGCTCAAGGTTGGTCCTTGCTAAGAAGTTCCTAGTGAAGGCTACTTATTCTCAGAAGGATGACCTGTCCCTCTTGCTGCAAAAATGCCTCCCAGAGCATGGTGGGATCGTGACTTCTCTTTGGTTCAGAAAAGATGGTGCATCCATATGTGGGAGGCTACCCACTATCACCCCCAGGTCTCTGCTAGGTTCTGTCAGGTCTACTTCTCCCCAAGGCTGGGGCCAGAGGGGCCTGGCTGGCTGGGATCCTGTTTTCCTCAAGAGCCCATCAGCCCCTCTACCTCACCCTGCTTCAAGAGGCAGCCTGAACTTTGCAACCGTGGCTTTCAGGGAGGGAGGCGGCTGTGACCTTTGCAGGTTTCACATTTGCTTTGTTTGAGCCGCCAGAAAAGCCCCTTCTCGGAGAGTGACATTTGGAGGCTGTTCCTCCCCTGCCGTCCCTGCCCAGGCTGAGCTGGGGTGCACCCAGTGGCCAACATAGGTCTTCGGAGAGATGCATGCCGCATGAAGCTGGCTCACCTCCCATCCATCCAACCCCAGCTGTCTCCCAGAGGAGGAGATGGGAAGCAGGCATCTCTGGGCTCCGCTGGGCTTCAGCTCCAGACCCACTGTGTGGTGCAGGCATGGGCTCTCCCTCTCGGGTGCCTTGGTGGCCTCGTGCTGAAGATCCTCTGGCTTGGAGTCTTGGCGGACTTGGCTCCTTGTGTCTGAGGGGCCACAGTCATGGTGGGCAGGGTTGGGATTGATGGGGACAGGGGACACTTGCCTAGTGGAGCAGGTGGTACCGGGTGGGTCCGTGTGCATCGGAATTGTAGCTACTTCTGTCGGGAGGAAAGAAGTCTAGTGATGCAGCGCTGAAGCTTGGTGATCCGAATTCAGCAGCAGACAGACGTGGCAGTTCACTTCCATAAAGATCACCGCCTTGGATACATCTCGGGCCAGGCAGGGCCTGGGGGTTCAGAGTGGTTCTGGAAGGAGGCCAGGGGCTTCTCAGCATTTCCCTGGTGGGGTAGGGGTGGCAGGCTACTGGGCCGATCAGGTCAGGGGAGTGGAGGCAGCGGATTTTTCTTTAAGTAGTTTTAGTTCATTGCATATCATACAAGTTAATTGTTCAGTCGCATTAAGCAGATTTGGGCTATCACCTCCACAGTCAATTTTCTTCTCATCCCCATGGCTCACTCCTCATTTCCTCCAAACGCCCCCCGACAGACCCCTAGCTAATTATTCATCCAGTGACGGTCTCTGTGGACCTACCTATCCTGGGTTTCGTATGCAGAGCACCACATAAAACACAAACAGGAAGCCAACAACAGACAACAACAGTGACTAGACAAAACAGAAAAACCTCCATGGAAAAGAGCAGAAATGAGGAAAAGCGGACACGAAAGGCGGTGCAAAGGCAGATCCAATGGCACGGCGTTCACATTCCGCCTGACTCCATCTGCCACATTGACCTTGCCGTGTTCACGGTCTGAGAGCCAGGCTGTCCACGTCCCTGGACTGTGGTCCAAGGCGATTCGCCGCCACCTTCACAGGCGTGGAGACCCTGCAAGTGGATTGTGGGCTTCCAGTGTCATCCACAGCCTCCTGCGACCAGGGTGTTCACAATTTAAGCTCTGACATCATGGCAGTAGCTCCACAAGCTTTTCTTCGGCAACGCCTCTGGGTGGACTCGAAGGTAGCCGCATTCACCCGTCAGACCACCGAGGCACTGTGAAAGCCACCATAGACAGTACATAGACACAGGCACCTGGCTGGATTCCAAAACAAATCTCCCTTTTTGAATCTCAAAGTTGAACTTCCCCTCATTTTCCGGAGGCAAGACTTCTTGTTCTTCTCTTCATCTTTCCTCCCAACCATTTAAAAACGTGGAAACCCTCCTTTGCTGGCAGGTGGTGGGCCAGGTTTGACCCACGGGCCATGGTTGGTTGCCCCCTGATGTAATAAACACCGGGGAGCCAGACCTTGTTTGAAAGCCCTTCACAAACATTTGCCCACTGAATCCTCACCACAGCCCCAGGGGGTAGCGGATTCATCTCCCTCTTAGGAAGAACAGTAGTCTCTGGGTGGTGTAAATGGCTAATGCTCTTAACTGCTAACTGAACGTTTTGAGATTTGAGTCCTGTCTGCTCCCGCCTCCCGCCCACCGAGAGAGCCCTCTGAAGCCAGGCCTGGTGAGGCAGCTCCCAAAGCACTAGGAGCACAGTCATACTCTGACACACATGCGGTCACTGGGAGTCAGAGTCGGGGGTGTTTTTGGTTGTTGTTATTGTTGTTGTCTGTTTGTTTAAGATCAAAAATCCAGAGGCGCAGAGAGGTAAAGTGACTTGTCCAAGGTCACACAGCTGTGAGTGGTGGAGCAGGATGGGCTGACTGGAGTCCAGGCTCACTCACCTGCATGTTCTCCTTATGCGGACGGGATGCCTCAGGAAAGCCTCCTCTCAGGCCTCTGTTTCATTTATTTATTTAAATCATTTTACTGGGGTGCTTTCAGCTCTTATCACAATCCATACATATATCCATTTTGTCGAACACATCTGTACATAGGTTGTCATCGTTTTTCAAAACATCTTCATTCTACTTGAGCCTCTGGCATCAGCTCCTCATCCCCCCCCACATCCCTCCCCCAGGCCTCTGTTTTCTTATGCCAGATAAAGGCCAAACCCTGCTCCCCCCCACCCTCCCAGGCTGTTTGGTTAGCGAGACCTTGTGGCCTCATACTCCAGTGGGGAAAAGCCAAGCCCCCTGTCAATGAGTCGGTTCCGGCTCAGAGTGACCCTGTGGGTCACAGTAGAACTGCCCCCACAACTTTTCAACACTGTAACTCTTTAGGGGAGCACACAGCCTCATCTTTCTCCTGAAGAGAGGCTGGTGGGTTTGAACCATTGACCTTGGAGTTAACGACCAAAGTGTAGCCTTTGTGAAAAGTGTTGGGTGTGGAGGGAGGGCCACGGACAGGAGCGTGGTGTGAACGGGGAGGATGCCGATGGTGATGAAAAGGAGTCCTCCTCCTCCCTGTCCAGCCTCACCTGCCGGCTGACAAGGCCCAGCTTCAGCAAGACGTGGAGCAGCAGCACCTGCTGACCACGGCCCCCAGCTCCAGCAGCAGTTCCCTGGAGAGTTCAGCCAGCACCGCGGGCAGGCAGAACCAGCCACGTGCACGGGACACAGAGAAGCCCAGTGGCCCTGGGGCTGCCCGGGCCAGCTGCACAAGCCCAGGTAAGGCACCCCCACCTCACCTCTTGACTGGGGTCATAGCCACCCCATCTCGGGCCCCTGGAGCAGGGCGCGCTCTGAGCTTTGTGGGGCTGACTTGGCCTTGGCTTGGCTTTCTGGCCTCACCTCCCTGCTCGCTCCCTGCTCACCTGGACTTCCTTCTGACCCTTTTCCTGGAGTCCCCTTCCTTCTCTGTACCCCGCCCTGGGACCCGGACAATCCCAATTAGAGCATTTTCTTGAGCCACTTTCCCCACTGGCCTGGCTGCACTTCCAGGCTCAGCGAGTTCTTTGCTGTCCTAGGATGGTCACACGCACAGCCTCTGTTTGCTCCTCGCACTCTGCCTGGCTAACCAACAAACAACAACAGCAGCAGTAGCTTCTACCTACTGCGTGCTTGCACGGTAGTATCAGCCCTCTTCTGGGCACTTGACATGCTTGAAACCCATCCATCCGTCCATGCTAAGAAACTCCTCCTCGGATTATCCCCGTTGTATAGATGAGGACATGGAAGCCCAGGGCGGTTAAGCAACTTGCTCAAAGACGCCCGGCCTGTCCATGGATGAGCCGGTGCTGAAAGACAGATGATGATCAATACCTCCAGAACTCTTGTGCTGGGGCCACTGCCCTGTCCTCTTCAAAGGCTGGGGGTCCCCACGGTGGCTCTGGAGAAGTTCTGGTTGCAAGTGTGTCCCAGCCCGGGTCTGTGACAGATGACACTGTAGGCTGGCATCTGCGGTGCCCACACAAGTTTTGTGGTGCAGAGGCCAAGCCTGCTGCTGGCCTGAGTCTCTCCCCACCCCCTGAGCACATCAGCAAGAGGGTGGCTAGGAAGTGATCGGGGCCTGGAGTCCCGGAGCCATCCCATTTCCACCTCTTGAGACTGGGGACCTGGCATCACTTGGAGGGGCTATTGAGGGAAGAGTTTCAGTGGACCTGGCCTGCTGCCCAGGTCATCAGCTCACTGGGCCACTTCCAGGGAGGGGCTGTTGGCTCCTTTCCACATTACCTGCTCCCCCAGCCCACTATAATCAGCTGCTCTCTTGATAAGCTGCACCTGTGTGCCTCTACGTTCCCTTGCCCTTCCTGTCGCCTGACTCAAGGCCACTTCCTCTCCTGCCTGCTCACTTGGGCTCAGGTGCCCCTCTGGTTTCTCTGTCCTGGTGAGGTCTCATCAGTGCCCACTTCCTCGACCTAGCCCGTGTCTGAGTGCTTCCTGAGGGAGGGGTCAGGCCGGGCCCTGGAACAGAGCAGGTGAGCTGAGAAGTTGGTTGACTGAATGAATCAGCCTCACATCTAGCTCTTAGCGCTTGTTTGAGCACTTGCATTTCTCTCTCTGATTCTAAGCTCCGCTCTACCTGCTTTGTCCCCATCCAGTGTGGCTGCCTTGGCCCTAGTGTCTGTCCACACTGGGCGTCCCTCCCCCTAACCCCATCACCTCCTGGTCTTCCCCCCCCCGCCCCCCGCCTGCCCCTGCTACTTTCTCCACTGTGGGGACCTGTGAGCCCCAGGGCTATGTCTCCAGCCCGCCCCCAGGTTGTCTCATTCACCACGTGCAAAGGGCATGGTGAGGCTGGGTGACATTTGGGTGCCGTGGAGGTTCGAGGGTGGAAATTTCCTCCCAGTCTGTGAATTCAGTGCCCTGCACCCCCAGCGTGTTTGAGGTGGTTCTGAGCAGAGCAGGTCTCCCGAGGTCCTGGAGCCCGGGAACCCTAAGGCCAAGCCTGCTCATGCACTTGGACACCATGTGTGCGCAGGCTCTCAGCGAGTCCCTGGAGCAGCCGCAGCAATGGACACTTTTTGGGGGGGCACTGGTGTGTCCAGCCCCTGACATGTGTCTCCCCAGTTAGAAAACAAAGTGGCTGCCAGTGTTGGGCAGGACACGGATACAGGAGGGGCGCAGGGCAGCCCTGAGTCCTGGAGTTTTTCCTGTCATTGTTACCACTCAGCAACAAGGGTCCCCTGGGCCAGTGGCCTCACATCTGGTTCCCAGGAGAAGTCAGAAAGCCAGATCATTAAAACATGAGCCCCAAAATCCTATGTCTTGAAAACCAAGTCCTCCCACCAATGTGACCCAGACAGCTCTGTAGGCTGCCTCTCCTGCAACATGCCTCCCCATTGGAGGCCCTAGGGATGAGGCAGCAACAGTCAAAGTTCCCAGGCCCAGGGCCTGGGGCATATAAGTGACAGAGGCAACTGATTGTGGGCCCCAGAGAGCACAGACAGGGAGTGACAGATAGGACAGCAGGGAAGTGTTTTCAGAGTGGGAAATCTGGGCAGGTGTGTTAGACAGGGTTCTCTATAGAAACAAGACCAGGACACTTATGATTTTGTATGTATATAACGTAATGAAATGAACAGCTAATTAGTCCACAGAGCTGTACAGAGGGATCAGTTCAATTCACTTTCATGAGATAGTTAATATACTGGCTGTCCTTCAACTCATGAGGGCGGCTGGGTGCAAGTCAAGGAAGCAGACAGCTGAGTCTCCTGTAGTGCAATGCAGGCAGTCTGGCCACAGGCAGCAAACAGCAGGGCAGGTCACCAACAGTCAGCCAGATAACAGGGTCCGACAGTCCCCAGCTCAAGTGATGTATACCTCAGCAGTGTGGTGAAGCAGATCTCGAAGGAACCTCAAACTATAGTGACGCAATCCACAGGTTGGGTGTCCCACAGGTAGTGTAGCTCACAAGTTGAGGCAGAGAAGTAGCTAAGGCAGCTGCACACTGGTCTGATCATCAGAGAGTGAGAGACAGAAAAGTGAGGCTTGCTGCACCATTTATCTCTTTGCCCTTCAACAAAACGGCAACCTCATCAATCCCACATGTGTCTATCGGCCAGGTTGGCACAATAAACCTACCTATCACCGCAGGTTCCCTGGAGGAAGCAGTCTTTAGCTGAGGCCTACATGAAAGAAGGAAGGGAACAGTGCCATGAGGAAGAACTCCCCAAACTAGAGCCCAAGCCTCGGACGGCACAGGGGCTGGGTAGAAGCCGGGGTGAATAAAGGTGACATAAGGTGGTAGCAGGTGAGGCAGTGACCTTGAAGGGTCTTTTGGAGGTAGACCAGGTAGGATCCGGGGCCTGGGAGGAAGAAAGAGGATCCAGTTGGGTCTAACGCTTTGGGCCGGAGTGACTGGGCCGATGTTGGCCGTGTGGGTGAGATGGAGAGGAACCGGTTGCATGGGAGCATTAAAGGGCAGTTCAGCGGCGGGCCGGGGGTTGGCTGAGAAGGAAAAGTTCAGGGTCCCTTTGTCAATTCTGTAAAGCAACACTTCGTGCAAACCCTCTGAGGTTGATACTTCGACTGGCAGAATTATTGGTTAGCACTGCGGACGCCATCCAGCAGTTAGTTCATGGCGGCATTGACGGCATTCTGCAGCCGGTCCTGTGTCATGTGTGGGGCCCTCGGTGGGGAACGCATCTTGTTCCTGGAGCCCTTCCATCTGCCTCACATCATTGGCTCTCCCCATCTGTGTGGCGTGTAGGTGGTGCTGCTGTTCTTATTTGACGGGTGAGGAAACAGAGGCACCCACAGTCTAAGGGACTTGCCCAAGGGCACTCAACAGAGTTGGTAGAGCCCTGTTCTTTTCCTGGTCCACAGCCCCCCACCCCTGCCACTCTGGCAAGATCACCTGTGAGACTCACCCCCAGTCCCCCCCCACACACACACACACTCTGAAACCCTGGGACTGACCCCCATCTCCCATCTCCTTGCTTCCCAGAGCCCTCCCCCGGCGGTGGTGGGACCCACGTCAACGTCACCTGCATCGTGAATGTCTGCAGCAGCTCCGACCATGGCTCCCAGTGCCCCTCACAGGCCAGCTCCGTGGCGGGGGATGTGGATGGCCCCCAGGGCTCCCCAAGGGACGAGCAGGTCCCTTTCTCCACGGAGGAACAGCCCTTTCAGTCCCAGCTGGGGGCGCCAGAGACGCTACCGCAGAGCTCGGAGGAGAAGCCGCTGCCTCTGGGCGTGCCGGATGTTGGCATGAAGCCCCGTTAACCTGCTGGCAGGGGCCTTGGGCAGCCTGTCCCTCCAGGTCCCGCCTGCCAGGACTCTGGGAGGTTTCCTTTATCGGCTTCCTCAGCCTCTGTTTGGCCTGCAGGTCCAGAGGGGCCCTGAAGACCCCTCTTCTGCCTGGTGTGCGTCCTTCGTGAAGAGCTGCCTGGTCAATGGCAGAGCCAACCCCAGACTCCAGGGCTGCTGGGCCGGGTCCCTCTGCCTCTTGGAACTCCCCTCGGCTGGAGCCTGGCTCCTGGAGCCTTGGACGGTTTGGACTGCGCTCTCGCTTCCCAGGAGGCCCTGCGGGCCCCCCCCCCCCCCCCTTGCAGGAGGAAGGACAGAGCTTCAGCCTGAATGTTGAGACAGGGGGATAGTCCCAGAGAGCACACTCCATGGGGGTGCGCTCGGAGTAGATGGCTGGCTCATCGTAGGGAGGGCTTGGCAGCCCCTGCAGGGGACATGGATCTCCCACCTTACTCAGGACCCTCAGAAAGTGCCCCCCGCCAAGTCCATTCCTGCCATCCTGTCCTCTTGTACCACACTTTGAAAATTAGGTGCCCAGAGGCCTGAGGAGGTAGCCCTAACGAGGCAGATGGCAAGCTCTTAACCGGAAATCATTCCATTTTAACATGTGGCAGTTAACATACTATCGACCCCACGCAGGCAAACCAAACAAGAAAGTATAGCTCGGAGGGCTCCTCCAGCCCTTGACCCAGGCTGTCCTGGCCTCTGGTCTTCACTCCAGTGGCCCTGAGAACCAGTGCCCACCCCCAGCCCTCCCCTGACACCCTGGTGTGAAGCCGCACCTCCTCCTATCAGGGAAATTTCTGGAACTGTAAGTGTCTGAGGCTCCTACAGGCATCTCTTTCCTCCTACCTCAGCCTGGACTTCCCTCCTTCCCTCCTGAGGGGCGCTCCCCGGGCCCCTCTCCTTGTCCTGGATCCCCAGCCCCCGGGGAGCTGCGGAGCCACTTTGGTATGGTGCCTATGGTCACGTGTCTGTGTCTGTGTCCTGTCTGTCTAACCTGTGCTGCCGGGTTCGGTAGCCTGTTTTGAAGCAGCTGAGGCCATCATTTTGCCTAGGGATTCTCTTCTTCCCACTGGAGAGTCTACCACTGCCCCCACCCGCGCCAGCTCACACTCAGAACACCGCAGGGGGTGGGACCAAGTGTGGACTAGACCAGGTTCTAGAAAGAGCCTGGCTGCATCCCAGGCACTTGAATCCCACGCTGATAAATTCCACCAGACTTGAACTTGGCCCCTGAACTATCCATTTCCATGGAGACAAGCAGGACTTCCCATCCCGGAATCACATCACGATGGCAAAGGGCCTGCACGGGCCAGGCTCCCAGGCCAAGTTGGACCCTGCTCGCTGGCGGAACGTGTCTGCCCTCTGGTGGACAATCCGGGAGGACCACAAACCTGGCTGGCGTGGGAAAGGAGTGTGGCTTTTAGGGTGTGGCTCTATTTCCCCCAGGCTCGCCTTGATCCCATGACCAAGCGTTGCACTGTTTGCTGAACAGTATTCCTGCTTATAAATAAACTTTGTGTTTGTTTTACTTCTTGAGCCCTGGGCGCTCTGGCTGCAAGTCTGGGCTGGGGTTTGCCTGTGATCAGGCTTGCCTGCTGCCAAGGGAGTTGAGCCTGATGACCATGCTGTGGCTGGCCCACTAGAGGCACCCTGGCACAGCTGCCCGGGTCGGTGCACGATAAGATGTCGCCTTCATGCCGGGGTCACCCGACCGGCCTCCGTGTATTCTCTCCTCTGCCTGCTCAGCCTCCTCTGGGGGCGGGGGCAGGGTCTCTCAGACTATCTTCTCACTTGGTGTGAGCCTCTACTTACCTGGGAGGCCCATCACTGGGGGTTCAGATCAGCTCGGGGCTCTGGGAGGCGGGGGGTCAGAGGCTCTGAAGGAAGACTGTAGGACGGACACCTCCGCGTGTGTCAAGATGGAGTGTGGCATTTCCTTCCTGCTCACAGTCCCTTGGCTCACAGCCCCTCCTGCATCGCGAAAGCCAGCCTCGGAGCTGCTTCTGTGGCATTTCCTTCCTGCCCACAGTCCCCTGGCTCACAGCCCCTCCTGCATCGCGAAAGCCAGCCTCGGAGCTGCTTCTGTCCAAGCTCCCTCGGATGATTGCAGGGAGTTCAGAACTCGCTTCTCTTCGAAGACGGACTCATTCATGGGACGAAGGAAACCGAAGAAATAAGAGGGTTGACAGCCTCGCTCTTTTGGTGGTCGGTGAAGGGGGCGTACAGTTCGCTCCATCACGGGTGTCAGTAACATAGAGAATCGGACGTTGGCCTCTGGAGGCGGGTGGCGTCTTGTTCAGCCCACCACATGTCCGCACCCACTTGCTGTGTCACTGTCTTGCCCGCCAAGCAAGGCTCGTTCCTACCCTCTCCTGTTTCGGCAATCCTCTGACTTCCCAGTCTCACCCTCAGTGGGTTGCCTGGCTTCCTGTTTCACTGAGAAAATAAAAGCCAGGAGAAGAGGGTGTCCTGGGGCGCCACTGCGCCTGGAGCCCACACACACTCTCCGGAGACTTTGGATCAGCACCAGACTAGCTAAGTGCAAGTCTTCCACCGGAGCTGAGACTAGACGGCCCTTACTGTGGGGGCTCGCCCCCTCTCTCCTTACCATCACAGTCAGTCCTGTCCTTCCCGGACGGGACTTATCTGTCTGCACACCAGCATCCGGACGCTGCTGCCATTTACAAGGCAGCGGCAAGGCAACCCCAAACCCTCGAACGCCACACTCCCTCCAGGGACCACAAAGGTCCCTCAGCCACACTTTATAGCACGGACACTGGGGACAGGTGGCCTCTCCGTAGTCACTGTCTCCAGTTCATCTTCTCGCATCGTCTCTCCCCGCTCCAAGGAGGCTGGTGCCTCGCCAGCCACTAAAATGTCTGTTGTTGGTGTTGCCACCGACTCCAGGTTGCTCGATTCAATGGGTATTGGTGCGTCTCCAACGCCCTTCATCTACCGGTGCCGAGACGGGTCCCTCCTCCTTGGGGCACTCCTCCCTGGCTCTCCTGCCTCCTTAGCTGGTGCCTCCTCAGATCAAGGACTGTATTTGGGGGGCCCAAGGCTCTGTCCTTGCACCTCCCCTCCAGGCCCAGCTCCCTCCCTTGCTGATCTCATCCACCTTCACGACTTTGGATGCCCTGATGCTTCCCAGTGTTTGACCACACAAGTCATCCGGGATTGTTTTCTTACTGGGCACTGCTCTAAGGGCTGGGGATGGGTGCCAATCCCCTCTCCCCCCCAGCAAAAAAAGCCACAAACCAAACCCAAACAGAACCCTGCCATTGACGTGATCCTGACTCATGGCAGCCCCGTCATTACTCTATTCCGTCAGGCTTCCTTATTGGGCAGGAAGAGAGACACTAAATGTCAGTCAGAAAATAACGATCAGAGGGTGACGAGGAAAATTAAGTCGTGCATGGAGGACAAAGGTTTGTGGAAGCCAGGAAAGCCTGTTGGCCAGAGAGAGGACTTGGAAGCAAACGCCTAAGGAAGTGAGCTGGAGCCAAGTGTTCTGTCAGAATACGGTCGGGCTATGAGAAGAGGAAATGAGAGGAAAGGAGGCTACCGAGTGGCCAGATGTAAAGGGCTTTGACTGACCTGCCAAGAGGGAGGGAGGACCAACTGCCTGGGGAAAGGGAGGCTTCAGAGACGGGTGCTAACCTCATGTTTGGCTCTCATTCCAGGAGATGGGGTGGCCCTTTCTGAAGTCCCCTTGCTTCTGGCCACATTGAGAGATGGCTGAGGAAAAGGCCAGGAGGCCAGCACACCTCTTGGGTTCCTATGTGTGCCCGCTCTGTGCTCAGGGAGGCTGACCTCTGCAATGGCATTCCCTGCCTGCAGGCGTCCATCAGGCTTGGCCCCAGTGACCTTGGCCTACAACCTTGCTCTTGCCACACGCTGCTCCCACACTCCCTCCCTGGCCCCTTGCTAACAGCTGCTCACTGTTGCTTCCCCCAGGCTGCTCCCCCAGCTCTGGTGGGTTCTTGTGACACGATCCCCTTCTCTGTCAATGGTCCTGAGGAGGCTCTTTGCATGTGTCAACTTGGCTAGGGTATGGTTCCTGGTTGTTCAGTTCAACCAGGGGTCCTCAAACGTTTTAAACGGGCCAGTTCACTGTCCCTCAGACCTGTTGGAGAGCCGGACTATAGTTTTTTAAAAAAAAAAAACTTTGAACAATTCCTATGCACACTGCACATATCTTATTTTGAAGTAAAAATAGGGGTGGGGGGTGCCAAAAACACCCGACGGACCGGATAAATGTCCTCGGCGGGTTGCATGTGGCCCACGGGCCGTAGTTTGAGGACCCCTGGGTTAGATGCTAATCTGGTTGCTGTCATGTTGTTGCTGGGTGCCACCGAGTCAGTTCCAACCCATAGCGACCCTCTCTGTGCACAACAGAACGGAGCAGTGTCCGGTCCTGCGCCGCCCTCACAACAGTGCCTGTGTCGGAGCCCAGGGTCGCAGCCACGGTGTCCATCCATCTCCTTGATAGCCTTCCTCTTTCGCAGCCCTTCGACTGCACCAAACACGATGCTCTTCTCCAGGGAGTCGTTTCTCATGACAACGTGCTCAAAGGATGTAAGAGGAATGGCTGTCATGGAGCAGTTGACAAACAAAAGCAAGACTCGGACTCAACTGCCATCAGGTCAGTTCTGGCTCGTAGTAGCTGTCAAGGGCAGGGTAGAACTGCCCCTGTGGGTTTCCAAGACTATAAGCTCTTGAATGGAGAGATTAAATGCACTGGACTTAGGTAAAAGTGACTACCTTCTGCACCATAATACAGTGACCGTCCACACCGAGCTCTCATGTAGTTTACTGAATCAGCTGGGGTCATACCAGTCTGGGGTGGATCCTAAACCTAACCACTTTCAAGTTACCAGAAAAGAGAATGGACGCAGAGACACACACATACAGGAAAAGACAGACGACAACGTGAAGGTTGTCTGGAATCCTTGGTGAAAGGATATTAAAGATCACCAGCGAACACCCCAAACTCAGATGGAGGCTCACAGTGAAGACATTGATTGGGACTTTGAACCTCTCGAGCTGTGGGGCCATCTGTTTCTGTTCTTCAGAGCCTATTTCCTTGTAGCAGGACCAGGACGCTGAAGCTCTGAATGCAAGTCCCTTCCTTCCACTTTGCACGGGCTGGGGTCTTTGTTTCCAACCAGGAAACCAGTGCATTCCCAACAACTCAAACTCTCCCTGCCTGTACACTGAAGGAGACAGGCACGGTGAAGTTCCAGCCCCCTGCTCATTTTCCCCATCCATACAACGGGGAAGGTAACACTTCCTTCCTGCATGGGATGCTGGCAGGATCAAGTTAGTTATCCAGTGAAGAGTGTGTTTACACACCATGGTTGCTGCAGTCAAGGATTCCCCTGCCCCGGCCCCACCCACTTCAGGATAGAGAGGTGATGGACGGCTGGAGGGGAGGGGCAGCTTCCTTTGTGGGTGAGTTAGTTAATTGTGCCAACCTGGCCGATAATCACATGTGGGGCTAATGGAAAGGCGGAGGGATAAATGGGTGGTGAACCTCGCCTTTCTAGCTCTTGGGTCTCTTGCTTTGTGATGGTCGCACCAGGATGCAGCTGCCTTAGCAGTTCCCTGCTTCAGCTTGCAAGATTGACTTCCTACAAGACATCCCCAAGGAGAAGCCACATGGACCTATCCCGACGCAGCCCTGGGTGCTTGAGTAGCCGTGTGGAGACCCCTGCTAGTGCTGAGATGCTTATTCGTTCACTGACTCAGCTTTCCTCCTGCAGTCGGCATCATTGCCTCTGTTCTGTGAGGTGGAGGACTTTGTGGACTGGTGTTGGGTTAATGGGTTAATGTTAGACTTGTGGGCTTGGGCAGCATTGGGTTGGGATGTTTTCGTGATGCACCTTTCCTTTACATAAAACTCTCTTATACATGAGTTATTGTGGATTTGTTTCTCTAATGTACCTAGGCTAATACAGTGGGCTTCTTCCTCCGCTGGGCACTGAGTGTGTTGTGGGTACCAGGTGTGAGGGATCCAGCCCAGGCCAGGCACAGGCTTGCCTTCTCAGAGCTTCCTGTTTGTCAGGGAAGACGTGTGAAGGCAGGCAATTCAGAGGGAAAGGGTAAATGTCAGGTAACCGAGGGCAGCGTTTTCCTACGTGCTGGCTGTGACAGCTTGTCAAAACGGGCCGGCACGGCTGCCTCTTGTCAATTTCTCTCCCTTCATCCAGCACCCAGCAGGTGGTTTGGTTTGGCTCAGCAAGGCCTGCCTTGGCGGGAGAGCAGGGGCCTCTGATTCCTCTGCATCCGGTTTTCAGAGTGCTGGAGCGCCTTAGACAGGCTTGGTGCACACGTCTAGACCAGCGGGTCCTCAAAGCCCGTTTGAATCCTGTTCCACCACATCCTGCCTGTGTGACCTCAGGTGAATTGCTAAACTTCTCTGTGTCTTGCTCTCATCTGTAAAATGGGAATAACATCAGCTGGGTTCTCTAGAGAGGCAACCTCAGTGATGCTTGTATGTATGTGTAGGTAGGAAAAGATTTCTTCAAGAAATG